CCAGATTTGTTGGTGTGTTTTCTTTAAATTGCCCTATGCTTTTTAAGCTAATGACTGATAGTTATTTTCATGACCATGAAATCAAATAGTATGCTAGGAATGAAAGGAACAACTGTTGTAGATGTGTTTTGTGGTATTTCATGCATCTGGTAGTGGTTTATTGTGACATTTACTTCTATGATTTATACATAAAGCAAAGGTTAAGGAGACACATTCAAGTTCGGAGACTACAAACAATAATATACATTTGACTTTTCACTGCTGTTATTTATTTTACTCTATCATTGTCAAGGTCTTCTCAAGTTTAATGTTATGTAGTGTAGATGTGTGGGATTGGATATCATTATCAAATCCACTGTTTATTTGAGGCTAGGTTATCCAACAATGTACTCTCATAAAAACAGTCTGAAGTAAAACTCTACTTAGTTTATGTTAGAAGAGAAATAAAATCATTGAATGCATGTGTGTATATGTAAAATTGATATTATTGACTTTTTATCACTTTCTCACAAAGTTTAAGGCAATTTAAGAGAGACGATAGCTTTCAGAAAAAGCAAGTTGTTAGAGTTTGTCTGTCAATTGACTATTAGAGCGCAAACCTTTGAACAGAAAACATCTCAGCTTGTTCATACATAAAAATACGCAGTAAAACACTAATTAATAAAATGTATTTAATACATTTATTTTGTAAATTGTATTCTTTTCAATATCAGTTGATACTATTGCATTTCTGCAAAATATCAAAAGGCCATGTTGTATTGTTGCTGAGTCAGCAACACAATACTACTTCTGTTTCATTCATTCAAAAAAAAATATAATTGTAAATTTGAACTGATGGCTCAATAACTAGCAGATGCAACTCCATTCAAAGTGGACTTGTTATAATGAGATGTAAAACTTTTATTTAAAATATCAAAAAGTACAAGTCTGAATTGAGAAGCTAGTACTAGAATGAGAAATAGAACGTATTGTTACGGTAAAGTCAAGACAAAATCAGACTTGACAACTCTTGCCACACATGCTTGTCTCACAAAAAAACATCTTCATCTTGTATATTGTATTCATTCAGTAGAAGAACACCTCCAGTAGAAGTGCATATGAACCCCAAATCATATTTGTTGTATACTGAATCATAAAACTATTTTGATCATAGAAATTTTCTTTCGGCAACAGGTATTTTTTTCACATAGAAAAATATCACAAAATATTCACTAAAATTTAAAAAGCTAAATTAACGCTGACCATTTAGCAAAAAATATCATGTGACAAAAGTATTCACTATAAATAATAAGAATTAAAATTACCGTCATAAAATAATCTTATGACTGACAGTTTTAAAAATAACTTTTGATAATTTTAAAATATAGAGCCCAATGGCTTAACTAAATTGAAAAGCAATATTAAAATGATGAATTTAGAAAAATTTACATTTTTAACTTTTCCTTAACCTTTTCACCACCACGCCCAAATTTTTCTTCACTTTTTTTTCATATTCTTCAATATTTCTGGAAATAAGCCCTATTATTGGAGCCAACAGACAGAATTTGAATCAATTTGCAGTTTTTACTCAAAATTTAGCTATTTTTGTCTCAAAATTCTGATGTGATGAAAAGGTTAAAAGCCATCAGCTATATGGG